TCACTCCCCCACCAGCGGGATCGGGGAGAGAATTGGAAGGGTAAAAGCTGGAAAAGTAGGGGGCTGAGATGATGACAGTTTAATAGGGAAAGCAAAAGCTGCACATGCATGCAAAGCAAAACAAGGAATTAATTCAGTGCTTCCCATGGGCAGGCAGGTGTTCAGCCACCTCCAGGAGAGCAGGGCTCCATCCCACGTGACTAGGGAAGACAAACACCATCACTCCAAGCATCCCTCCTTCCTCCTCCTCCCCCAGTTTATATACTGAGCACAATGTCAGATGGTCTGGAATATCCCTTGGGTCAGCTGGGGTCAGCTGTCCTGGCTGTGTCTCCTCCCAGTTTCCCATTATTTTGCAGGATCATGGCCTGCTTGCCCTGTTTTCTTGCCTGACTTCAAACAATGCCCTTTAGATAATCTTAATTCTCTTGCAAGAATAGTTTAACTCTTCAGTAACTTTGTGAGGGGAAGCATGTGCATATAAACATTGTCAAATAAGCAGTGTTATTTGTCTACTCCAGGAAAGACAAAATATTCTTACATAAGGTATTGTCCTTATGTGCTGATTTTTCCCTCTGTATGTTGTAGATGAAATCTTTATAAAGCTGAGTAGATACATTTTGATAACTGAACCATTTTAATAATGTGTTAATCTTCCTAACTGAACACATCAGATATTTGAAACTAAACTTAATAATTTCCCTTCTTCCCTATAGCAAAATTTATTTATTTAGGATCATCTATTTCATCTATTACAGCTTATGAGTAGGTGGCTTACAATGAAAAATGATGGTTAATATTATAAGAATGTTCAATCCAGTAAGTGCATTTTGACAGGCTTTGATGGCTTGAAATCAGTCTTTGTATTCAGAATGGATTACCAGATTTATTTAGTTGCCACAGCATGTTTTTGACTTTATGCTTTGTAAATAAATATTTTGCTTATTTATACCAAAAGCAGTTGTGGCTAAGCACTTACAGGGGTATTTTCAAAACTGCTTGGCAGCTTTTAAAGCTTCCACTAAAGCTGTGATGAGATTCCCACTGGGTAACAAAGGCCAGTGTGAGCACATATGAAACAACTTCTATACTTAATTCTTTTCAGAAAAACAGAAAAGCTACAGTTCAGCATCAGAAATTAACATAAGCGCAACCACCTGGAGGTTTATTCATGGATAAAACAATGGAATTTATCTTTGTATCCTTTGTTCTTTATTCGTGCTGGAATAATGAAAGAGTAGCAAAGAAAGCTGGCATTAGGACTCATTTTGTGGAGATTATTTCTCTTTCCATGTTCCTGTGTGATTCACCACGAGATGCTGTACAGTGGGTCTGGCCTGATTAGGCAGCTCAATTAGTCCTGATACTGCACTAAATTTTCTCCTATAAATGTTCTGACGATGCAGTAACATCACAGGGCACTAAACAGGCAGACCAGGAGAAGCACAGAAATATTTTATGTGCAGACTCTCCATGGGAAACCCAGATGCATAATTGTAGGTGAAGTGGTGACAGAACAAGTATTTCCACCCCCAGAGGATCTGTCAGTGCCAGGCTGGTGCCGTGATCCAGCTCCTTCCTGTTCCTGTGCTCGTGGGGATTAGCAGGGCCTGTTGAGTTCTTGGAAATGAGTTGTTCACCATGGCAGTAACTGACAGGTCAGTAGGGCATATTGGATTATTTGTATTGTTGATGGCAGTATTATCTGAATGGGAAGAATCCAATAATGGCTTCATTTCAAGGGTCAATATTTGCAGGGGCTTGTTTTGTAGTATCATGTGTACTGAGGTTTTTAGTAAAGTTCACAATCGTCTCACTACTCCTACCTTAAAGTGCAAGTTTTTGATGGAGAGTTACAGAAATAGGAATTTCTACAGATTCTTTCACTTGAAAATCATCTGTCATTTCTGCTAACTTAATTTAAACTTAACCTAAAATGTGTACTCAACTAAAAATAAAATAAATCCCAATTTCATGGGTTTCAAGGCACAAAACTTCTGAGTGGTCATCTCTGTGGATCTGCTGAGTTTCTGGATGAAACAGAAACACTACAGTTCAGATTTGTCAGCAGTCTGGAATTTTGTAGGAAAGTCAATGCTTTTTTCTTCTGTCTGTCTGATTAAAATACTGTCCTTGCCTTATACTCATGCATTAAACCAAATTTGTGCAGGTGTAAATTCTGAAGCAAATGATCCTGAACTTTTAAATTGATGCATCATAATTTTCTCAATTTTGTTTGTTTTAGTAGGATTTTGATTTTGCTTGATTGTTTGTTTTTCAGATAAAAACATTTGGGTGCTCATGCTCATATCCATAAGTGACTTACACTTTCCAGGCTGAAATAACACTGTAATCTGGTGGGCCTGGAGCACTTACCAGGCAGGGTACTAGGAATAAATGGTCACTCACCATAACTTTTAAAATAGGTAATTTTCTGGTTGGCTGGTGCTTTCTGCCAGCTGATCACAGTTTCTCTGGAAAACATTATTTGCAACTATCAAAATGAACCATTTTATAACCTTGAAGTGGTACATTCTGTCTACCTGTCTTAGCTGCTCTTTTAAATGGCTTTAAATGTGTTAAATGGCTACCATGATGATCTAGGTAACCTTTGAAGGCTATGGCTGGAGAATACATTTTAATCTTCTGTTTGAGTAGACCTTACTATTGAAGCAACTCAGTGGCAGTATCAGCACCAGGATATCAAGTGATGATAGTGTCTGTTGTACAGCATAGGTAATGCCAGATGCCTTGGTGACTGCTAAGCCACCAGTGGCAGAAATAGTCCAGAAGAGAGGTAAATTCTTGGGCAGTGGGGTGAGACAAAAAGAGGTAAAATTTCTCAGGTTTTGCCTGTTTGTGTTCCATTCTACATGGAACAAAGCCTTAGTAGAGAGGTGCTAGTATGGTTAGCAAGAAAAGAACAAGAGGTAGTTGGTTGTGAATCCCCTTCTCTCTACTGACAAATAGTTAGATCACTTGATAAGTTTTAAAGCCTGTTTAAACTTACTACCTTTTTTGTGTGCTTTCAAAAGTAATCTGACTGGCTCTGTTTCTGTAAAATACTGTAAATTTATCTTTTTGCTCTTTAGTGCTGAGTGTAAAGTGTACATAAAAAATGCCAAAACATATACATGAAAAAATCCCAGACCTCCAAACCTTACTATGACAATTCCTTTTATCGTGTCGATGACAGATTTTTTTTTTTGTTGCTGGTTTTATCAGTTTTTTCATGTGAGCTCTGATAGTTCATGAGCCACTGGACTACCAGCTGTGCCATGGCAATTTCTTGTTGATTTTTTTTGTTTGTTTCCTGCCAATTCCACCATGGTAATGTGCTCTTAGTTCGGGTAATTAACTGGCAAATAGTAAAGCAGATGTGAGTTTGCCTGTTTCATACTGAAAAACTTGGGAGGTATTTTTCTGCTGGTTTTGTATGTATTTTTAAAGCAGCTTATTTTAATAGGAGCCTTGAAAAAACCTTAGAGCTATTATTAGACTTTTGAAGATGTGATGCTGTTTCAGGAGTTTTGCATATTAAATTTCTTCCTCTACATGAATATCTAGGGTTTGCCTAGAGCTTCAATTATATCTGTAACAACTGAGAGTAACTTCAGTGTTTCCCTGGACATATTTCATGCTGATCAGATGTATCAGGGAGGGATGCTGAGATCTGGTTTGCTTTTATCCTTTCTTCAGCTGGTACCCAAGCAACAGCTGCGTTTTCTTCTGTTTCCTTAAACCTGCTCTCTTGCTTCTGTTTCCAGATTTAGTAATTTTACACATTTTTGTTTCCTCTTCTGAGACACAATGGGAGGTTGCTTTTGTCTTTGATCTTCGTTTTTCTTTAGAAATCCTACTTCAGCTTCTGAAGGGAAAGAAAAATGTTTCTAGTTCTAAGAAATTGAATGTGCCTTAGCGATATTGACCTCATTCCCCCAAAATTGTGCCTGTGGGATTGTGTGCTGGGAATTGTAAGGTGGGTGTTAGGATGTTAGTGCAGTGACAGGAACACAGGGATTTCTGGGGGTGTGGGATGCACCGTCCCATGTCTCACACATTGAAGAATCATGGAAAAGATTATAAATAGAACCATTTAGGTTGGAAAAGACCTTTCAGAAGATGGGATGCAGCTGGTGCTGTGTGTGCTTAAAGGATCACAGAGTATCCTGAGTTGGAAGGGACCCATGAGGATCACTGAGCTCCTGACCCGGCACAGGACCATCCCCAAGGGACACACTCTGTGCTTGAGAACATTGTCCAAGTGCTCCGGGAGCCCTGGCATCCATGGGACCGTGACCATTCCCTGGAGAACCAGGTCAGTGCCTGAGCACCCTCTGGGGAAAGAACTTTTATCTGATACCCAGCCTAAACCTCCCCTGGCCCAGCTCCAGCCATTCCCTTGGGTCCTGTCAGTGGTCACCACAGAGATCAGTGCCTGCCCCTCTGCTTCCCCTCACGAGGAACTTGTAGACTGCAATGATCTCTCCTCAGTCTCTTCCAGGCTGAACAGACCAAGTGACCTCAACCACTCCTCTTATGGCCTCCCCTGAAGGCCCTAGAGGGAGAGGAGCAGCTCCAGGTGGGAGCTGGTGATGGTCAGCGTGAGGGTGAGCTACAGAAGCTGAACCACGCCTGGTGTACCAGGCTGTCTGGCAGTGAGACCAGCCCAAGGCTGTCTCATTGGATGCTCAAGGATGTCTTGGCTTTACAGGGCATGCTGATGGTAAATGTGGCTTGAAGGCATCAGTGCCAGTGAGGAAGAACTGCCTGGAGTCGTGGAGGTTCCCTGGGTGCGTTGGGTGCCATAGCCCGACCTGTGGGACCTGTGCTTCCCCTCAGGCCATGCGCGTGTCCCACCCTTCAGGGGTAGCGAGGAGCTCGTGGCGGGTGTGACCGCTGGTGAGGGCGGTGCGGGGCTGAGGGAAGGTGCGGCCGAGCCCGCTGCCCCGCCGTGCCCGTGCCCGCTGCCCCGCCGTGCCCGTGCCCGCTGCCCCGCCATGCCCGCGCCCCGCCGTGTTCGTCGTGCCCGCGCCCCGCCGTGTTCGTCGTGCCCGCGCACCGCCGTGTTCGTCGTGCCCGCTGCCCCGCCGTGCCCGCTGCCCCGCCGTGCCCGCTGCCCCGCCGTGCCCGCGCCCCACCGTGCCCGTGCCCGCTGCCCCGCCGGCTGTGCGCCTGCGCCACCTAGCGGCCCGCTCTGAGGGCCCGGCAGCGCAAGGCGTGCGGATGAGCTTCATTTTCAAAGTTTGAAGCACCGGCAGCGCCTTAAAGTGCTCAAAACGGCGGCTGGGGTGTATTAAATGCAATTGAAAATAATTCCGGGGTATGATAATGCGGTTCCCTTCTGGTAGCCTGTGAACAGCAGAGCTTTGATGGTGTGTGGTAGCTCTGAGGGCAGCACTGTGCTGCTTGGCTAAAATTCCTGATACTTCTGTTTAGTTTTATGAATTGTCTGGAAAATATTAATTTATTCACAATTATTAAAGAACCCTAACTCATATCTTTAAATAATTCGTGATAATTTGAAGTTGGACTTCCCCTTTGACATGTGAACATTTCAACTTCACACTCATGCAATTCACATTCCTTCTCCATCTCCCTTGTCCACCTCCTTGATAAAATAAATATAAAATAAATAAATATTTTAATTAATCAGTGCTTTGTCTTCAAGGTCACTTCCTGGTACAACAGCGGCTGAATGTGCATTAAATTTGAAGAAGATATATACAGTACAAACAGTGCAGGTAAGGCGCCTGGCTCTGCTACAGGAGCTGCCACATGCTATTAATGTAACTTCACACCTCAAGTTTCATTTTTCCTCCTAGGATGAGTCACACCTGTGGCTTTGCTTACCTGAGGTGTGAAACGTGAGTGGTCCTGGTGTTGTGTGTTTGTATTTCTGAGTCAGTGTTTGCATTTCATTTGGCTTTCTGGATGGGGAAAGGAGGAGGAATATTGGATTGGGCATGTGGATTCTTAAACCTTCCTGTGTTTCTGCTAGTACATTGAATATTTGATGTATTTTAAATATCTTTCCAGCCTTTTCTCCTTTTTCTAGTACAGAAATTAATTGCACAAAGACTAAAAATTGCAGCATGTGGCTTTTCTTGGGTGGGGTTTCTTTCCTTGAGTATGTCTAAAAAAATATTCTAGCAAACTGAATTAAAGGACCCTTAAACTGTGTAATACTTGCAGCAGTAAGAAATTCTGCATGTCTGTGTCGTCTGCCATTGCCTAGCAGTGGGTATCTCTTGCAAATAAATTTGTATTTCTGTTTTAATACCACAGTTAGCATGACGTGTGTAGCAAAGCGACATTTGTCTCACCTTAGTGCTAAACTGACTATTTCACTATATCTCTGAAATTTTAGGGTAATGCCAGACCTTTTTCTTTGAGAAGCACACCTGTAGCAGTCTACTGAAGTTTTAAATAAGGCTTCCTCATGAAGGTCTGCACAACTTTGTACATTGCAGGAGATTTCCAAACCATGTCCCTAGTTCAGGACAAAAAGAGCTCTCAAATGTTTCCACAGCCATGTACCAGTGTACTCTCTGCTCCCTCTTCTGCAAGTAGCTTTAGGGTTTGGGTACACAACCATTTAAGAGTAAGACCATAGTTGAAATGGGTATTTCATACCAAGTTTTCATATTTTTAGTAGACTTCAATTTCTTCTTGTGGCTGGGTAGAGGTAATGGCTGTTAGGCAGAGTTGCCAAGGGCCACAAAATTTTATCACATAATGTTGCAATCCTTGTTTCTAAAGTTGTACTAGTGATTAAGAATTAGATATTACTTAATGTATTAGATAATACTTACATATTATGTCTAGATAATACTTAATGAGTTGCACTAATGATTAATATAGCATCACCACGTGTTGATGCAATTTATGTCTTTAAAATCCTTTCTATTCCCAACTGTTAGATAAAGAGTAAAGAGATTGGAATCTTTTCAATCATCCCTCCCTGTTGCTCACTCTGCTTTTGGGTGCCTTTTTATCCACCCCAAACCTCCCTGACAGCTTCTGCTTTTACCAGCAGAAACATTGGGAAATAATCCAGTGGTTCCTGGTAACTTGAATCTTTGCATTTCTTCCCCACTCCTGTATTAACATGTGCATTTCAGGTTCTTTGCATCTGGTTGAAACCTTTCACTCAGACAAACTAGTTGGTTGCTGGTTAGACATTTAGTTCACCAGCATTATTGTTTGTGGTGTTTTTGTAACTCAGGATAATCATAATGATGCTTAAGTGAAGTCTTAAGTGAAGCAAGGTGGATATTTGATATAAATATATCTTTTTAATATGCTAAAGAAGTTTTATGTGCTGGTTTGTTCTGACATAGTCAGTGTAACTCTGGTTTTGATGATTTTTTTCCCTCCGGATTCAAAAGGATAATCCACATTTATACTGCTTCCCTTTTTTTCCACTTTCACATATGCAGGATTGGCATCTAAAAAAAATAAAAGTAGAAATGATTCTGTAAGAAGTTCCTTTCACAGCATTTTATTATAACATAGAAGGTGCCCGTTCTCTAGGAGAAGGATGTGTAATTGGTTCAGAGGAAATTAGCAAGGAAATAAATCTGCATGAAACACTCTCTTATGTTAATGCAGCTAATATTTTTCCTTTTCAAGGATTTCTGGAGTGTCTACAACAACATTCCTCCTGTGACAAACTTGCCTCTGAGATGTAGCTACCATTTAATGCGGGGAGAAAGGCGCCCGCTTTGGCACGTGTGCTGTCATCAGACGTTTCTGGGAATGGGCACTGGAATAACTTGAACGAGTGAAAGGTTTGGGACAGGAGGGTCTTGTTTCTGTTGGCTGCAAACACCTGAACTCAAGAGACCAATGAAAGAAACCCTGAGGTTCTTGTTCAGTTTAAAAGTGACTTGTACCAAAGAGTCTTTATTAAAACACAGACTATAACTTCACTGTCCACCTCTGGATGTAAATGTACAATCTGTCAGGATTGATGGGAGACCACTGATCCTGACAAATCTATAGGAATCACACTGGGTATAGATAATCCAAAGACGAATTTTTAGGTTATTCTTTTAATATGGCCTTCACAGGAAACTAGAAGCCCTAATTTAAAGTCTTAGAAAAAGCATTGTGACAGAATAAACTTGAGAAGCTCACAGATTAGTGCTCTGTGCCTTTGTCATTACAAGGCAGTTTAATGGTTACATCTGCCCCGACCCGCAGCAGCTCCAGTCTTTTTTTAATAAGGGCAATTAATTTCTAGCTGTCACAAAACTGAAATGAAGTGTGCTCATGTTCTTTTATTAAACAGAATAAACGGAAGAGTAAAAAGCTGCTTCTGTGAAAATATGCCAGAGGTTTTCCAAAATTAAAGGTTACCATAGTAAAATGTAAAATTGTTTTGTGGCTTGTTCCCATGCAGTGTGCAGCCACTTCAAAGACGGTCTGTAGTCAGGGAAAATACAAGCGTTTTCCAACTCACAAAACTTAGGAAAAGGATTAGGTGTTGAGAGATACACTTCATATGAACAATGAAAGAATTATCTCTGATGTCAGAAGTCAGAGTCATGCTGCCTGGAGTTAGTAATTGCATTTCAGATGGGATTTTTCTGGGAAAATTAAACCACAAACATAGGGTTATCTAGATGTGGATTTGAATGTGTATTTTCACTAATCTATTTCCCATAACAGGGAAGAAAAAAGCAATGCCAAAGGAGGTATATGGAAAATGAAGTTCCCTAAAGAAAGTACAGTATGTTACATTGACTCTTTACTCAAACCTTGTTTAATAAGGGAGTTTCTTTAAACTCTGTTTGATAAAGCTGTTGTAAAGGTTTTTACTTCTTACATCACCCAACACAACAACCAAACACTACTTTAACTTTCATAACCTTTTAAAGTCAAAGAGCAGAAGTTTACTTTCCAATAATTACGTATACCTTGCTTTAGATAACATTTGGCAATGTATTACAAATAATAATGAAAGCTACAATGGTTCAATTTGGGAACATGGTAATTCCTAATCACCTTTGTTCTTGAGATTGTTTGCTTATAGGCATACAAAGAAAAAATAGAAAGACCTTTTCCTGATAATCTATGCTAAATTATATAAATTTTCATTTAAAAGTATGAAAGATTAAGTCTATTCAGGCATATCCTTGAGCTGTAATGAAATAACTGTGTTTCTCTTTGCCTCTCTAATCAAATGCATGTGAGTAACTTCTGTGAACTGCCACAGAAAGGAGATTTGACCTCTTCACACATGGTGTTTATGTGTGTAAGTGTGCTCTGGATCAGGCCTTTAAACAGAAAAAGTGAAGTGTCAGAAAAATGTGACAGCCTTGCAGAAGGCATTAAATGCTGAAAGATGGTAGTCAAAATTTCAGCCAAAAGTTAATTGATTTTTGCCTGTGGGCTTTTTCCTTGTGAGTTGCAGCTTTCCTCCCCCGCAGTCCCAAGTGGTCACAAAAGACTGAAATTGAAATTGTCTTTTTCCTCCTATAATCCAAGGTGTGAAGATTGTCAGAAGTGACAAGTGGTTTGGAGAGCCTGAATTACTGGGCAGTGAATTTAGGGACCCCAGAGGCCTTGTTTTTCAGAGGCTGAATGACAGCCCCTTTTTGACATGAAGATACTTTTGATCTCTCCAACTATGCACCACATGGCCTCAGTCACTTCTGAAAGGTTTGCTTGAAGGTGAACTTCAGCCAGCTTTCAGTGCCTTGTAAATAGCATAAATAACACCTTTATGCCTGTTTCTCTTTTATTTTGCTTCATTCTTCATCAAACGTGGGCACAGCATCTCCTTGGCTAAGATGAACCATCTTGTACAGACCCAACATTTAATTATATAACACAGCATGCACTTACAATAAATACTCCTTTTTGTCTAGACAACCTCAGAAAGAGAGGACACTCAAAACTGAGCTAGAAAACCTAACTTTCAATTTAAGAAATAATAATGTGAATGTAATATTTTTCTGCCTCCTTAGGCTGCAGCTTGGAAAGAGCTACTGCTAGCAACTATTGGAGAGCAGTTTACAGATTGCCGTGCAGCAGATAATGATTGAGACATTTCTCCATCATTCTTTTCACCATATTTGCTTCTCTTCTAAGCATGAATATCTGATAAAAGTGGCTGTTACAGTGACAGTGAATATCCTGGTAGGAATTGTCTTTCACTGGCTATTATTCCACAAAAAAGAATGGCCTTTCTCAAGTTTACTGAGCACTTCAGAAATAACCTTTTAAATAGACTCTCACACCCTTTATACACTGATAGGGTTGTCTTGAGGTGACTTCAAGCAAACATATGATTTTCTGCTGTCCAGAGAGGTGGTTCTTGCCCTTGGCCTTGTGCTTCTGACACCACCTTTGTGCATTGTTAGTGACCATTTCCTTGGGATGAACAGAGCAGCTGTGCCATGGAGCTCACAGCTGGAGCAGCCTCTGCTCCCAGCTGTGGCATGGCCATGGAGCTCTCCACAAAGCTGCATCCTGAGAACTTCACACCAGAAAGGGCTTCTTCAGTGTAGCACTGAGTTACCAGCACTGGCAGCAGCAGCCTGACTGGGGCTTTATTCATTTCATTAATTTTGTTTTCTTTTTTTTTTCTGTTGCTGCCTTGACAAAATGTAAAGGAAAAAGAGAGTCTGGAAAAGCTGGTGTCTGATCTCCACCAGGTACTTTTCCTAGGGTTTTAGTTGTTTCACTCTCATCCTCCCATTTCCGCTTGTAGACATCATTGTGGGTAAATTGTCTTTAGTAGTTCATATTGCTGACCTTACTGGAGGGAGTCTTGGGATTCCATTCTAATCAAGTCTAAGAGGGCTAATAGCAAAGATGAATAATCCTATGGCACTTCATAAAAACCACCATGAGGTAATATTTCCAATAACTTCTTTCTGGTAACTACTTTGTCTGGTTTGAACATTGGTATTTTCCTCACTGGAGATTGCTCTTTTTTTTCACATCTTTATTTTTTTTCCAGCTTTTGGGCACTGTTTCATAATACATAAGTAGCAAATTAGACATGTCTCACTTTTAAAGTATTTCTTGATGGTTCTTCCCCTTCTGTGCAGATGATGAAGTAATAGGGGTTAGCGTCAGTGTTTGTGACTGTGAAGATGTTGTGCAAGTCTGGAACATGAATTCCTCTTCAGCAAGTGGAGCAAAAGTTTTACAAAAAATTCATAAACTTCTTCCACACACGTCTTTTAAAGCAGTCTTTTATAAATGTAAGTATTTTGTACTGTTCATTTCTACCTTCATTAGAAAAACAAGATGCTGGTAGGGTATTTCTATGGAAATATCCTGCCTGATTCATCATTAATCATTTAGGAATGTAGCAGCTGACATTGCATTAAAATTATGTCCCTTCAATGTAGAAGTTAGCTATCATTCAAAAGATATTTTAAATTTCATTGTACAATCTGTTTTGTATTTAATGTGCCTGATTCCCAAAACAAATTAAACAAATCTCTTAATAACTCTCAAGGCTACATACTGTCCAATTTAAGTATTAATTTAGAGGAACCATTTGCAATCAGGATTTTAAGGGATTTCATATTTTAGGCTCCCTCTAAATGTATTATCAGTTTATTCTGAAAGATCCCTTGTTGGCACATTGTCTTCTCTCTTGACTGATTTATGCATTTTTATCTTCTCTTTTTTTAATCTTTTCAACTCCTTGACAGAGTTTACATGTTCTTCTATTCCTTTCTTTTCCTCCTCTCTTCCCTAGCCCACAGAGAGAATCATGCTTTTGAAGGCTGATGTGGAAAGCATTGAGTGCATTTTATGCCAAGATCATGTGTTGTTATTTGGTGTTTTGAGGTGGTCTGGACAAGGAGGAGGATGGTGAAAGCCCTGCAGAAGTGCTACATTGGGTTGGCCCTTTTGAGTTTCTGACATTTCACACTGGCCTATTTTTACTGAAAATGAAAAGACCCTGAACAGTTGCCTTGACCACTAAATACTTGATTCATTGCTTCTGTTGAGTTGGTGTTTTTAGTTCTTAGTTGTTTCTCTAGAAAAATATTTTGGCCACTTGTTTGTTCACCCTGATTATATTTGTTCCCATTTCTTAAAGATAGTTGGCTTCTTCTTCTGTGCTGTACTTAGTGAAAAGCAAACATGCAGAGATGCTGTGCTGCTTTTCCAAGATGTGCTGTACATAGAGAAACCCTGGCTTGGGAAAATGTGCTTTCAATTTTCACTTTGAAACATTCCTATCATGTTAAAGTTTACTCACTAGTTTGTCCCAAGAGAGAAAGAAATTGCACTGCATTTATTCTAATGTTCAGTGTAATCTGGTCCTACGGTGACAACAGCACATACTGTAAATGCAAATAGAAAAAGGTACCTTAAATGAGCAATTAAAGGGAACACATATATTTATATTTACATTGGGACTAACCCTGTGTAGGATGATTTTAATGTCTTTTGATTGTATTGATTTCAGAAAGCTCTTGTTCAGGTTAGAATGAGAAATTTCTCTGTAGGAAACCCTGCAAACTCAACACTTCTTATTTAAGGGTGATATGGTATTTATGGTTTTATATTGTATGCTCTCTTATGGTATCTTTCTGTCCATCCATGAAAAAGTGTCATGAATCATTTCTAATGAATTGTACAAACTGGATCCATTCCTCCCACTTCCTTAAATGTGTCTGCACCTACTAGGACAGTGTCAGGATTGCTGCTGACTTCAGTGCAAAGGAAGAGATCCCATTGTCTGTAGTTTCAAGCCCTCAAAACTTCCTAAGTGTCCTTTTTAAAATAAACAAAAATACAGAAAAGAAATTTGTGTTGCAGATTTAATAGGAATATAAACAGTGTTAACCTTTAAATGTTTGTCTCTATGAACTATTTGAGGTGTTTTAATACACTACCAAAGATTGATGTGGTTCCTTTAACAAGAAGGTGCAAGGTAGAGATGAACACACCCTCTGCTGAGCCCTTCTTCATCCTTTATAGAGGTTTTTGTCTGGTAGCTCTTTAAGTTGCACTGATTTCCACATCTTTAGTATATTAAGAGGCAGCCATAAAAATGAAATAAATTTAAAAATAAGTATCACACATTTGAGATTTTTTTTTTTACAACTTTATCTCGTACTTACGACTTTAACTTGTATTTATGGATTAAAACTGTGTAGTTAATGAGCATTATTAATTAAACACATTTTCGAAAATCCAAGCGTCTTGCTTCTGTAATTGCTTTCTGGGATGAAATGTTACTAGTCCTGCTTTTTCAAACCTGTGTATTTTACATTAAAACTTACTCTCTTAAAAGCTGTTTTGTTCTTAGATTAATTTTTTTTTCAGTGAAGAAGTGTGAAGTACCAGTGGATACTTGCAGGGATGTACCTGGACAGCCTCCAGGCCTGTGTGATGGAGGGGAAAGGTGACTTCAGAGAAGTTAGAACACAGTGAGGAGAAATGTTTTCAACTGCTTGATGAGCAAGATTTCTCACTTGAAATATTTCCCTATCTTTGGAGGAAATGTAAGTGGAATACTAATGGAGAATTAATCATGCACCTCTCACTCTGCTTCCTTTTACTTTTGGAAACAAGCCACAGCCTCTTATTTCTTCCCCAGGTTTGTTTTCAGGACGGATGTTGATTCCGGTAGAGCTGGAGCTGCTGGCAGAAGGGGCTGATCTGGTGATGTCACTGGAACTTTCCAGTTTAAGGTATTCCTTTATTCATCCAACTGCAGGCAAATATTTTTATGTTGTTGCCTTGTGTGCCTCTTTAATACTAAAAACCTTTCTGCTTCAACATTGGATAAAGACTTAGAGACATCATTCTAGCTGTAGGGTAGGGTAGCTACAGGTCCATATTTAAAATTAATAAGGTCCTGACTAAATTTAATAGGTCCTGACTATCAAGGTCCATATTTTAAATTGTTGTAAATTTTTTATTCTTCTAAGTTCCTAGTCTATAAAATCAGGGATTCTATTTTTTTCCATATGCCTTAATTCTGATAGTAGTTGTTAGTATTACTTAGAATAAGGGTTGATGGATATCTTTTCAACTGAAATTCAGTGTCTCTTATGCCACAATCCAGGACTGGGCTTGGATCAAACTGGGCAGGGCAAGTTCACAGGAACATGAAAAATTGCATATTGGAATTTTGCAACCATTGATTTTAAGACTTAGTAGAATTTTTTAACTGTCCTTTCATCCCTACATCTGTAGGGATGTATTTATACCAAATAATGTTGAACAGTTAATTTTTATACTCTTTTAAATATTAATTATTTTCACCTGGAGATTTGCTTTATTGAACTTGATTAAATGAGCCCCCCTAGTACTTCAAAATCTTCTAAATTGTTTAAATGGATGTCAGAGAAGCACCTATAACTTCCTATCAAAATTAATTTCTGCTGGCATTTCAATATAAAATGAAAACATTTAACTTCCAAAGAAACTCCAGAGTGAATGAAATGAAAGAATGAAATGAAAGAAACCTGCTTCTGTCTTGGGGTGGGAACAAGCCCTGGCTGATCCTTTCCACACTGGAATGGTGCCCTCAGGCACTATCCAGAAGGGCTGAAGATTTTCCTGTAACTGGAGCCCTTGTCACTTTTATCCAGGCTGTTTTGTGAATTTTGTGGAACTATCCTTGATACACCTGGGAAGCCAGGTGAGATGAGAGCTAAGAGGAGAGTTCTGGCTGTGTTTAGAAGTGTTTGTAGGACCTTGTAAAAGTGCTCACTGCATCCTGCTGGGGAAAGCTCGGGTGCTGCAGGGTGGAGGGTGGTGTGGAGCTCCTGCATGGGCACAGGCATGGACTGCACAGAGGAAGGAAGAGGATGCAGCCCAGGGGAGCACAGGGGAAGAGGAGGGGCTGGCCAGGCTGTGGTTGAAGCCACCTGGGCAACTGGAGCCAGGAAGGAGAGCCGTGGATTGGTAAAAGGAATGAACAGTTTTTTACTTCTGAGTGTTCCACTTGTGCTGGTCTGCACCTTCCCAGGGCTGAAGACAGCCACTGGCAGCAGGTGGGGACAGAACTCTGATGCTCTCCTCACCTTTGTGGCCATCACTAATTCCTCTCTGGGCTGCAACACAATAACTGCTGGAGGGATTAGTTGGGAATTTCACTTAACAGGGATGAAGGGATGTCTTCTGGGGCTGGCTAATTAACAGGATTTTACTCTAGTAATTAAATAGCAGTTTGTTGAACACAACTTAGTTGATAACATCTTTGGAAAACATTACAATTAGCAGGCAAGGAACTGCAGCTTTGCCTCAAAAGCCTGTCCCCAACCAGTTGCTGGCATGGTTTTAACCTCTCCTTCCCCAGCAGAGACAGTGTTGGCTATTAATTTATTTGGGTTTGCTGCTGTTGTTGGACAGCTTATTCACCCTCTGCTGTCACAGCAGCTGGTTCCTCTAGGGCTTTATCTCAGCTGAAGGGGCTTGAGATGTACCACATGTTGCTCTCTCTAGCACTGCCTTCTTAATGCCAGTGCTGGAAGACAGGAGTATTTGCCACCAGACAAAAGAGTATTTTTATTTTTATATTCTTTCTATGGCAGATTAACCAGAGAGGATGAAATCTAAGAGTTGTCTTAAAACATAAATCTGACAGAGGGAAATTATTGATCCCACACAGCTTATATAAACTCTCTCATTTGCACACACACATGGAAGGGGGAGGTGCCTTCATTTGGAAATTGTTCCTGTCTTCATCTCTCTACTTCTCCCTGTCTTGTAATGATTCTCTTAGGGCAACGAGGATGAGGAAATTAGATTAGACAAACAGTGGGAGATTCCAGGGTTTGCTATAAAAGCCACCTCCAATCTTTGCTACAATTTGACAGCTCTCAATTTCTTAATTTGACAAGGTAATGAACAGTGGATTATTTCTGAAGCCCTATGTACCACAGCGCAGGGGAATGGGGGCTGTGCTCTGCACGGGGACTACCCACCCCAGCAGCTTCCTCCCACCCAGGTTACAGAACCTCATCCCTGGGAGGGAGGTGGTGTGTGCAGGAGCCAGGGCTGGAGCTGTGGTGTTGGTGCAGGGCTCTGCAGGATGCTCCCATGCCAGGAGACATGTGGACCTGCCTCAGGAGCATGTGTCATCTCCAAGAAGCCGTGTGGCAGCTTTTCACCTCCCTGTGTTTTGCTTGGCTGGGCAGTACATTGTTTCCTTCCACTCTCCCCGAGGCTGTGCAGACAATGGAATGGGCTGGCCAAGCCAGCCAAGCTAAATACAGCAGGAGACATCCCGTGGGTACCTCCCAGGCACAGCATTCCTGCAGTGGGCAGGTGGGCATCCATGCACCTGCATGGCTCTTGAGTCCAGCCTGGTGCTCTGCTCCTAGTCAAGGGGCAGGAAAAGGGGCTTTAAATGTGGGGGAGAAACTACCAGCTGTTGGGAACAATGTCAGTGGGAAGTGCAGCAGTTCTGGAGCAGTCCTGGGGTGTTCCTGCACAGTGGTGAAGCCAGGAGCAGAGTTTCAGCTTTTACTGCTCCCTCTCCAAACTGCCCATTGCAAGGGCAGTGCCTGTGATGTGCTCTGTCTCATGGAGGAACTGGGAGTGTATCCATCAGCACTGAGGCTCCATAAATAAATAAGCACATGGGAGCAGGCTGGAAGTGAAGGAGGTATCATTCATCATGTGAGGGGGCCTGGAGTATGTTCAGCTCATAATGTGTAACAGAGTTATGAACAGGCATGGGATGGATCCCCTTCTTTTTGGATCATGATTCTGTGTAATAAACATGCAAGACAATTTGTATAAAATAGTGAGGATTCTTT